AAAAATAAAATAAAATAATATAAAACAGAAAAAAAACATTTCAGAATTGAAATTATGATACAGAATGAAAACAAACTCAGGAACAATATCAAACTTGCTGAGTGAACCAAGTAATCTTTATTATTCATCCCATAAGAAAACTTCTGCAATCTATAAGGCATCTAAATTTACTCCTTTTAGATCCTAGTTTACAATAGTTATGCCCAAGGGTCACATGAAGTTCATAATAACTTCTTGATTGCATGTCACTTTTATTACAATTGTGTTACTTATCCATTTTTTTTTTTAGCCATATACCCACTCCCCCTTTTTTTAAAATGTTGAAAGTGCATCTCATTGAGTTGCTGAGGCTGTCTTCAAACTTGCGATCCTCCTGCCTCAGCCTTCCAAGCCATTGGGATTACAGGCATGTGCAACCACCCCTGGCTTTACTTACTCTTCTTCAGATGACACAAGCCCTCACTTCTTAATTAAATTGAGTAATTGGTCCTGTCCAATGTGATATGTTTCCCTTTCTTACTATACCTTACAGGGCATTGCAGACAGGCTAGTCCTTTTAGATCTCTCAGAAGGAACAAAAGGTGGAACCATGGACCTTGACATATTCAACCTGCCTAATGTGGAAATCAGCAAAGGTATGGTTATTCTGCCGAAAAATGTTTGCTTTACTTGCTCTTATATTTGAGTCTAAGAATTAGCACTGGGAATTTAACTCAAGGCCTCTCATATGCTAGGAAAGCAATGAGTTCTACCTCTAGTCTTTTCCATTTTTGAGACAGCATCTGCCTGGCTGGCATTGAACTTGTGATCTTCTTGTCTTACCCTCTTGAGTAGCTGTGATTTCAGGTATGTGCCACCATACCTGGCTTAAGTTCTGGAATTTTAAAGCTGAAAGATACCTTCAAGATTAACTAGTACAAGCCTCTCATTTTTTTTTTCCTTTTTAACAGTGGGATTTGTTATGATATATACAAGCTCCTCATTTTGTCACAAGAAATGTCTCTGAAAAAGGGTCCAAGAAGTTCATGGAGAAAGAGGGGAACTTGACTCAGGACCAGTGGGGTTTTGGGCATATGTTATGGAAAAGAATTAAAGCACATGCCACTCAGGCATAGAGAGAGGTTTATTTAGGAAAGATACATAATTAAGGGAAATCTCAAGAGAGAGACACTTATGTGGGTTAAAGCAAGGCATATGCCCTCAAGGGAGAATGCAGGTCTTTTTAAGGATGAGAAATGCAGTTTTGTTGCTACTTTTTAAGGAAACTTGGTGAGGGATGGGTATGGAAAAGTATATAGGAATGATATCAATCCAGTGATCTCAAGACAGTTTCTAGTAGTCTGATATGTATCAGGATCCTTAGGCTGACATGGTCTTTATTATCTGATCAATAGTGCTAAATTATGGGTTCCTCAAGACATTATATCTCCTCCCCCTCCCCTTTGCCTTCCTCCTTATTCTCTCTTCTCTCTCCCCCACCCTCTTCCTCATCCCCCATCTTTACCTCTCTCCTTATTCTATTATTGAGGGTTTAATTACAGTGCACAAGTAAATTTACAGACTTCCCAGGAATTTAGGAGTAACAGGTGTGGAAGGAAGACTGGCTTGGGGAGTTATAGGCCTGGAAAAGTATGCAGAACTTTTGAACCAAAATCTTATTTTCTGGTTCTTCTTTTATGACTTTTTGCCTATTTCCTATTCCTTCTATCCTACCTCAATTTTATGCACTGAGAAACAAAGATTCAAATAAGTTAAGTAACTTGTACAAAATCATACAGATCATAAATGATTATGTTAACAGAGTCAAATGAGCAAATAACATCCAGATTCATTCATAGTGGCCATAAGAATTTGTTATTTGACTTATATTTCCACATGAATTTGTCTTTTGATTGCTTCCTTTCTCAGAACATATTGGTTTAAAGCACTGATCTTAGTGTTAGACAGTGATTTGCATCTTAGCTCTGCTATATTAGAGCTCTGATGTTTGTCAGATTAAACAATCTCTCAAAAAAATTCAGTTTTCTCATATGTGAAGTAGGAGACTAGGAATATAGCTCAGTAGTAAAATGTTTACCTAGCATGCATAAGGCCCTGAGATCAATCTCTAGCCCTGAAAAAAATAACTAAAAATTTTAACAGTTATTTTTTTCTATCTAATTTTTCCCCCTTTGGAGATGGGAGGTCTCACTGTTTATCCAGACTAATGTAGAACCCCTGGGATGAAGCATTTCCTCAGCCTCTTGAGTAGCTGGAAATACTTGACTTCTCATACTTTATTTATTTATGTACCAGGGATTGAACCCAGGGGCACTTAAGCACTGAGTCACATCCCCAGCCCTTTTTAAAATTTTAAGATAGGGTCTCATTAAATTGCTTATAGCCTCACTAAGTTGCTGAGGCTTGCTTTGAACTTGCAATCCTGCCTCAGCCTCCTGAGTCACTGGGATTACCAGCATGCACCACTGTGCTGGAAACTTTTCACATATTTAATTTTAAAAAATTGAGTCTATTTTATAATGTATATTATAAATTATAGGATACATTTGGATAGATAAATACTATATTTGGGAGTATTTGAAAATTTTTTTTATTGAAAATTATCTTGGTTAAATGTGAACAGCTTTTTGTTAAAAACAACAACGACAATAACAACAACAACAAAAAGCAATGCTTAAGTAGGACTAATGTGTTCATTTTTGTATGACATGCTTATTTTATTTTATTTTTAATATTTATTTTTTAGTTCTCAGGGGACACAACAACTTTCTTTGTATGTGGTGCTGAGGATCGAACCCGGGTCGCACGCATGCCAGGCGAGCGCCCTACCGCTTGAGCCACATCCCCAGCCCTGTATGACTGCTTAAGTCATTTACACGGTATCTTTTCCCTTCTATTTTTATCTAACAGTCATGTCTCTCCTGGACCACTGTTGATTGAAAATTTTTTGAAAAAATATATAATATATAATAATATATAATATAATGTATAATAATATATATAATTTATTTGAAAATATTTTCCTACCAGGGATGCATGATTTAAGAGGACACCTGTAGTCCCAGTTGCTCAGAAGACCGAGGCAAGAGGACCATAAGTTCAGAGCTAGTATCAGCAACTTAATCAAGGTCTTAAGCAGCTAAACAAGAAGACCCTTTCTCTAAATAAAATATTTTAAAAGGGCTGGAAATGTACCTCAGTGGTTAAGCGCCCCTGGGTTCCATCCCTGGTACCAAGAAGAAAAAAAAGGTCATTGAAAGACACATTTTCTAAAATGATTCTACCAGTTTATAGATCAGATCAGATTGTACATAGTATAGTTGTTTGGCTTGCTTTTGCCTTTACTTGGGTCCCCTGTATTTCTTGACTATGTTTTCCAAATAATGTATAAAAACACATAGTCTCACAAGCCTGAATGTACTAAGAATAATGGTCAGAAAAACTGAAATCTCTGTTCTTATGAGTTCTAAAAATTGGGTGTTATAGTTTAGTAAACCTGTAGGAGCCTTGTAGGAGACAATGAGTTCATTTTGCTTCTCTGGAAAAAGTACTGTAGCTGCTTTAATAATCCTTTTGTAGGCCTCTTGTGGAGGATCATTTGGGGAACAGGGTATTCTCTTGTGTCAATCGTTTCTAGGGAGTGAAGTTCTTAAGAGACTGCTTAACTCGTCCATATCATTTTAGGAGACTGTTTAGTACATGGTCCCTAGAGGTTATGAGGCCTTTTAGGACTTCAGGAAATTATTTCTTTCTGTGTGTCTCATTAACCATCAATAACTATTCCCTCAGATAATAGAAAGCACAGAAACAATGGAATAGATAGATAACGGATGGTGCATGCCACCGAGTGGGGACTCAGTAATTATCTATTGAATGTTGAATGAATATTGGGGCATGTTTTTCATGTTTTCCTAATTGATTTTGGTTGTACATTTCTGATGACATAACTTAATACATGAAGCAATTTTAAATGTAATGGTAACTAACATCCCATAAGTATATGGAGAAGTACATTAACAATGTGGGGAATTAAAGCTCAATTGGAAATTTTATTAATACCACACCATGATATTCATAGATGATTGCAAGTGACTGATTATCCATTAGTTGTACTTTGCCTCATTTAGTTTTTTCAAATAGCTACTATAACATTTTGGAGAGATTATATATGATCATGTAATACAAATATGTAGACACACACTTACACAAATAGTTATGCTCATGTATGCATGAACCAAATCAGGAAATACACTTAGAAACTGGTAAGAGTAGTTGTTTTAGGAATTAGACTGCGGAATCTGGCTGCTCTGTTTGCACATAATTGTGTGTGTCTGTGTGTGTGTATTTATATATTTAAATCCGTTTTGTTGTGCTAAAATATACATAACATAAAATTACTATTAGTGACTTTTAACACTAATTCATAATGTGTATTCAGTAAATTCACAACATTGTGTAACTATCACCACTATTTAATTTCTAGAACATTTCATTACTCACAAAAGGAAATTCTATAGTACACAATAAGTAATTGCTTCTTATTTCCCCTCCTCTATCCCCTGGCAACTACTAATCTGCTTTCTGTCCCTATGAACTTACCTTTTCTGGATATTTTATATATACTTGTCCCTTGGTATCCTAACCCTTCTACTATTTGTGCTATATGTTGCTTAATGAGAAGTAATATCTCATCACTTTTGTGTTCTTAGTACTATCTGTGCTTTTTGTAGGGGGGATTATGAATTCAAATTAATTTTATTATGATCCTTAACCTTGTAATTTATATCACAGGTTTATAAACCATGCTTAAGGTTCTTCTTAATGATTTCCCATTATTAAATCATCAACTTCTAAGAAAAGACTTGATGAGTCATATAAAAATCTTGGACTGCTTTCCAAATAAAGAACTTGTTGCCTATGGAGCAATTTACCAAAACCTGGCTGTGTATCCAGACTCATATGGAAGGTTGCATTCCTGGAAGCTCCCTTTATCTACTTAAATGAAATCCTAAGAAAATGAGATAATCTGCATTTTTATTAAGCTTTCCAGGTTCTTTAGAAGCACCGAGTCGAGCATGTGAGGACTGCTGCAGGGAACTGACAGAAATGGAAGACTACATGGTCAAAAGCAGCTTAAAGTTTAGATGAAAAGACACACATGCAAGAAATAAATAGTAATTCATAACAAGAGTAAAGAAACAATATGTGATTAATTGCCGTAAGAACTGTCCAGACAGTAAAGACTCTTGGAGTTAAGTGGAGAGAATTACTTTAGCCTGAGTAAGACTGAGATATGTGCCAGGTTATGATTTCATAGACTGGGGAGATTTGGACAGAGAAGTAGAGGAAACTGTACCAACTAAGCGACTAGATCTGAGAGTTGCAAAAATTAAACACAACTCAGTTCTCACAGAGTGATAGCAATGTTTGGTGTAATAGTCACATAAAAGCACATCAAACATGTGGTAAATACAGTGAGAAACATTCCAGATGAAAAGAATTTGAGCAAAAGCCAACATCAGGAAAATGAAAAATTGCTTTGAGGAATGACTATAAGATCAGTAGAGTTTGAGCCAAAAGGTTATATAAAGAATACTTAAATATACTGTCTTTTAAACTCAAGAAAAGATTAAAAGGCTTGGATCTTAATCTATGGAGCAAGAGACCTTTCTTGTCCTTTTCAAATCCTGTAGATACCAACTACTTTTGTGTACTCATATGTCAACCATGAGGGTGAGGGCATTTCTGTTATTTAAAGTAGAGGAATCAGCCAGGTGGGGTGGCACATGACTGTAATCCTAGTGACTCAGAGGCTGAGGCAAGAGGATTACAAATTTGAGGCCAGACAGCAATTTAATGAGGCCCTAAGCAACTTAGGGAGACCATGTCTCAAAATAAAAAGGGCTGCGGATGTGGCTCAGTGGTAAGTACCTCTGGGTTCAAACCCTAATACAAAATAAATAAAGGAAGCTAAAGGAGGAAAAGAAATATAATTCTGACAAAATAGTTTAGGGGCTAGATTATAAAGTTGTAAATTGAACTGCTCACTGGTTTTTAATATGGAGAAAGCTACCATGTACCAGTTTCCTCATTTTTTATGAGAATGTAAGACTATTTTAAAATATAGTCTGTTTACTGGCATTTGAAGCCAGATTGTCTGGGCTTGAATTCTGGCTCCTCTACTTACCAGTTTTATAACTTTAAGCAAATTACTTAACTTCTCTGGGCCTCAGATTACCCATCTATAAAATGAGGGTAATAATGCCCATTCTGTATTGTGGACTAGATTAAATAAGTAACTGTATGGAAAGTTGTTAGACAACTACCTGGCACATAGTTGATGGTATGAAAGGTATTCCTTCCAGTTCTTTAGGTTTTGTCTCATAACCAGGTATCCGTTCTAAATCCTAGAACACAGGAATTACTTAAGAGGATTCATGAAGAATCACAGTTAAATTCAGACTTGGGATCTACCATCACCAGAACTATGTCAGAATCTGAGCTTAAACTGGGTAAAGTATTTCCCAGTGGACACATTATACAAGAATTTCCTTCTGAAACTACTTTAGAAAGATGGCCTTAGACTAAGAAAGATCCTTTTTCAAAACAAAAAATAAAAAGTTGCTAAGAATATAGCTCATTGACCTAGCACTGATGGGTTCAATCTCTCACCACAAAAGAAAGAAATAAAAAATAAAAGAATATTAATTCTGGGAACTACTGTCCCCTGGATGCTAATATTCATTTACAAATGTTGATTAGACTTATGCCTTTTTTATTTTATTGTTTTTCTGTTGTTTCTGATAATAACAACTGGCCACTGTTTTGGCATGCACTCACTGTAAAATACACAGTGAAGTAGAAAATATAGCTGTAAAATAGCATATTTGTGCTTGAGAATCAGAGGAAGGAACTCCATAGGCCAGCTTTTTCCCAAGTCGTAACTGTTGCTTACCTGTAGGTCCCATTAAAAGTAGTTATTACCCCCAAACAGCTGGATTTAAGTATTAAAAAAAAAGTTAAAAATGAGCCAAAGCCAGGTGCAGTGGTACACACCTGTAATCTCAGCTACTCTGGAGGTTAAGGCAGGAGGATTGTAAATTGGAGGCCTGCCTTAGCAATTATCAAGATCTTATTTCAGAATGAAAAATAAAGGGCTGATGACCTGGTTTAATCCCCAGTGATGGATGGATGGATGGATAGATAAAATAAAAACTTTTAAAAAGGGTTGGGGGATGTAATTCAGTGGTAAAGTACCTCTGGATTTAATTCACAGAACTGGGGAGGGGGAAAAAAGAATGGAGATATTTTAATTTAGAGATTTTCAAACCAGTTTTTTGGTTTTTAAAGTAGAATCCTTAATAAATAAAACAGATCAAAGCAGCACTGCTGTGCTCGGAGAAGCCAAAGAAAGTGGCCTAGAGTCCTCCCAGATGGCCTCTGAGTCATTTTCAAGAAATTTTAGGACCCTTAAACTCAGTTTAGAAGTCAGTTAACTGATTGTAATTTCATTTTGTCTATAGCATATTATTCATTTTTCCTTAAAATTTTGTGAATTGCATATAAAACTCAATCTATGTGAATGTTCTTGGTCCTATAATTTTGTTTATCTTTATTGCTGTCCCCCCCTCCTCCCTACTTGGAATATACTCTAGTTCTTAACCTTCAGCATTTTGTACTGAATGCTGTACAGTAGGATTGGAAAGTAGGATTGGTCTGGAGGCAGATCAATGCCTAAAAGTTCTAAATTTGTAGAAAAGAAAAAAAAATTTTTTTATTATGGACTAGAACTCATTTAAAGCCTAATCTTGAACTCAGACTGTTTCTTTTTATTCATTAGATTTGTCTGCCTCTGCTCATTCCAAGGTGGTGATCTTCACAGTCAACTCTTTGGGTAGTTCTGAGTCTTATGTTGATGTTGTGCAGAGCAATGTGGATATGTTCAGAGCCCTTGTCCCAGCTCTGGGACATTACAGTCAACATGGTGTTCTGCTCGTTGCATCTCAACCAGGTAAAAAGTTTTATTTTAAATTAATTTGATGGTTTAATATATCAGTAGAACTCCCATTACTGATAAAAGCCATAAAACTTTAGATTATAAAGGGAAGGATAGAATATTCAGTAAATGGCTCTTTTAGTTAACAATACAGTATTTCTACATACTATAAGTTGTTTGTTATGATTATCATTAATCAAAAGATTAAACTTAACAATGTTTTATGAAATGATATTGGGTTCCTGTTGTTAGTCATATCTTCCTTAGTGAGAAAATGGTTAACCTCCTGCCCTTGCCCCAAGAAAAATGCAGTGACCTTTGTGAAACATTATAACTCTGAAGTATTATAAAATGTTAGTAACATCTCAGAGTGCATTTTTCACTTTTTATATTTTATAAATTGTTTTGAAAGTGTTTTACTTGAAAAAGAAATATTTTCAAGGCGTTAGGTGTTATTGAACTCAAATTGATGAACAGACTTTAAAATGTTCCCAGTACAGGGTTATGGAATGTATTTCACTTGTTTTTCTAAAGTAGTTGGTGGAGGGACATTGGTGTCTTTGATTTCTGACATCCTTTTGGCATGTACAAAAAAAAAAAGAGTTGTGTTTTTGTTTAGAATACTATACTGAATAGTAGTTTTTCTTTCTTTCTTTTTTTTTTTTT